ATATAATTAAATAATTTCAAGAATAATTCATGATTAAGTTATTTAATTATATATTAAATTTTAACTATTCAATTATTAAATTAAAAGTTTTAAAATATATAGATTAAATTTACAAATTTTTAAAAATTTATAAATTATTTGATCTATATATCAAATATTATTAATATACAACATATAATTAGAGTCATTTAATTTCTCTCTTTTTATATATATATATATATACTAATGAAATTTACTTGACCTAGACGGTGTTGGACTAATTTAATTTTACAATTTTTTTAATTAAACAAAATTCTTAAATGAAACCAATTTTAGTAGTTTTAAGATTCAATAATATATTATATCGATTAATTGAAAAATAAAATTTATTTAAGTTGAAAATAAGTACTAAACAATTTTAAAACTTTACTTGAATGTTTATTTTGAAGTAACTTGAAGACCCATAAAATAGTGAAGATAAACATAACATAATGTCGGCATAGGTTATTAATGTCGACAGTTTGGGAACACATCGTTTGTATCCATCAACAACCGCCTTAACGATGAAATCAATGAATAAGGTAAGTCGATGCATGTTTTTTTTGTGGCCACGCCTGTAGGAACTATTGTGCCATATACGACAAATAAATAGTTTAAGCTCTAGCATTAATTCGTCTTTGGATTCCCACACACGGTTAAGCTTATGTACCATGGTGGGGTTGGTGACTCTGGAAATCACAACGGGTGCTTCGGGTTGCAATAAAACAGTACAGTTAGACCCACTTCCTTCCGTAGAAACGTTCATAGAGATTTACAAGAAAGGAATCATACTATTACTAGCTATATTAAATGGTGTTTCACACATGTAGGTAGGTGCTCCCAATCAACGCTGATCACCTTCATCTGCTTCTTTAATTTGTCCACATCACAAATGACTTATCTCAAATTCTCAACTCACAATTAGGGTAGTTTTTTTTTGTTTTCTTTTTTGGTAGGAATCACAATAAAACACTAGAAAGAGATCATAATTCGGAGAAAAGTGAGTCCTGATTAGAGCATACATATGCTTTCAGGAGCAGAATTTCATCCTCACTGTACGCTCAAGAGATGCATATATATAAACTGTGAAAACCCTATTATTATTACAAAAGAGAAATTCAAAAACTCAAGGAAAATCATCATTTTTCCCGCAGTTCCCAATTATTAACAAAATAACATGGAAAAAAAAAAACTTAAATGCAAAGCTATAAATTCTTGCAACGTTTTTCAATTAGAGTTTTACTTTGCTGATCATCCATATTAGCATATTACTAACCATGTAAAAATTCAATTCTGATAAGAGAATTAGGCTACTACAACTGATTTTTGTTCTAATAGTATAGGAATTATGAAACTAAAAGATTTCAATTAAGACCAATTCATTCAGTACTAGTGATTATTATTTATTAGCATAATATACAACACAGTTGCTGCTTTAGATTGATCAGAAAATTCAGAACAATTACAACAAAAGAGAGGATGTGGGGGGAATGATGGATCATAGCATCAAAATATATATGGGATTTGAATGAAATCATCCACCGTTTCATGTCTAGTCAAAGACAACTGAGACGAAGAGGAGTGGCAGAAGTTATCATTGAAGTCCCCACAAGAGAAAAATTCAGGTAAGGGTGGCAAACTAACATGAGCATTCAAGGAATGATCAGTAGTAATAGTAGTAGTAGCAGTAGCAGCAGCAACATAGCGAGCTAGACGATCTTTAGCAATGGCAAGATCATGTTGAAGCTCCACCATCTTCCTTTGCAACAGTGCTATGGCTCCAATGCATCCATAAACTGGGTCCCTAAGCCTTGCTTCTGCCTCATAAGCAAGCGAATTCACCGTGTCCTCTCTCTGCTCCTCCGGCACCTCAACCAGGATCTTGCTCACATTGCTCGCACCAAACACCTTGTGCACCTTCGCGAATTTCTTGCACTCGTCGGACCGAAAGTAAGGTGCAAATATACAATTGGGGATGCACCTTCTCTTCAAGAACTTGCACGCTGCACAAGAAGAACTTGAACGTGGCTCGTAACTCTTCATGGCTTTCAATTCTCTCAAAAATTGTTATCTCTTGTAACAAGTATACATATATATATGTATAAGGTTCTCTTGATAGGTACTTTGCTGAATTGCTATTTAAGGGCAACCACGTTTCCTTGCCTAGTGGCTCAGATAGGTCGTAGGTTTGGCACTTGCATGGGCCAATGTTGTCCTTTTTCTGCATTTATGTTATTTGCTTTTCATCGTAGTTTAAGTTTTCTTTTGTATTGTTAATTGTGTTAATTAAGTTTAACAACCCGGTAATGTATTTATTTACTTACAACAATAGTATAAATCAACCAAAAAAAATTAATTTATTTTGAAGTCCAAATTAATAAATATATAACTGTCTTCAAAAGAAAAAATTGTACCGGGCTCAAACATAATACGATGGAAGATAACTGGTATAGAAAAAAAAATGTTTATTTATTAGCCGTCTACCATTCATTCAAATTGGGAGCAAAAGTAGGTCCAAATAATTGATTCATGTGGACAATGGGTGGTGTGAGTTGGTAGTTTTCAAGTTAGATATGATAGTTCATGAATAAAGATGGGGATATATTTTGATTGATTGGAGAAAAGAAATATTCTCAATAAAAAGCAAAATTATCCCTTGGCAGTGAGAGGTATGGTCACAAGAAGGAAACCAATAAGATTGAATTGAGTACTTTAGATGTAGTTGGAATCTTCAGTACAGCATAGTGGAGCCAAAAATAAAGCTAGTGCATGTGATGTTGTTTATATGCTTTCTATATCATTAGATATTTCATTTTTTCCGTTATTATTTTTTGCAATTCTAGTTGCTGTCTAACAAACTGAAACGGTAAGTTTAAGGTGAAGCTGTAGTGTAGCACATGGAAACAAAATGAGTGCGTCTCAAATTTAACCACATCAAATTAAACATCTTCTGCCCTTGCACAGCAACTTAACATGAGTTTCTCCATTTTATTTCTAAAAGAAGAAATATACAAGGTGTGTGACTGTGTGGTGGTTTTTTTTTTTTTTTTTTTTTTAATATTTACCAAATTAATTACAAATTCTTTTTTTTAAGAAGTTATAAATTCTTACTAATTCCTATGGGAATTAAATATTCACCATGCAGGCATGAAAAAATACTCCTTACTATATAAGAATATTTTTTTTGGTGAAAGATAAAAAATTATTCAAATTAAATTTTCAATTATTACTTTAAAGTTTTAAAGTATAATATCAGATCGATCCAGATTGCGTTTAATAGTAAAAGAAAATAGTGTTTTTAATTCATGGAATTTTAAATAAGTGTATTTAATATATAAACGATGCTATTCGAATAAGGAATCCATATATAGATTCAAAAGTTCAGCTTGATACTAAAGATTCAAGGGGAAAAAATAATGGAAGAAGAAAGAAAAAAGTTTTTATCTTTAAGTGTTGCCGTGGTGTAAACGAAATATATAGTAAGAGTCAATAAAACATTGATGATATATATTAAAGAGATTTGATATTTTATCTTTTGGAGGCCACCTCACACTAAAATTGATGCTTCCAATTCCAACGATAAGGATGGAGACATTAAAATATTGATGACTGGATAAAGACGACTTTAAACTGTATTAAGAATTAACATATTGGAAGGTTCAGCCTAGACGTAAATGTCATACAACGACTTTCTATCATTGCATATTACTGTGGAGGGTGCAACTGTAAAGATTTCCTATCTCATAATGGAATCTTATATAATAATTGTAGATTTCATTGTTAGGTGGACTGATCATAGCCCAAAATTTGGAGGGACTTGCATCACTTCCTGAAACCAATCTCTTGCTTCTCAGACTATATTTTTACACCATTTTAAATTATTACAATTCGACTTTTACTTTTTTGTGCATTGTTAACATAAATGAAAAAGTTAATATTGCCTATAATAATAAATTATGAAAGTACAATTTTTTAATATAATTATCGTCAAAATTAACATAAAATCTTACATACAAAAATCAGCTTGTAAAGTAAAGATTATTTTTCACTTATATATTAAGTAATTATTTAATCTCTAGTCGATGTGAAACTTGATTTTTTCCTAATATATATATATATAATAATTTGTTATATTACCATGTGAATTCACATATTATTTACTCCTTTTTTTATACCATATACTCTTATTTTTTTTTCTTCTTTTCAATTTACATATATTTACTAATAAATGTTAATATTATTTATTTTTATCTTATTTATTATTTATATATTGAAAATAAAAAAATATTTTTTGTCTAAAAATATTAAAAGTGACAAAGATTATATATTTTGTTAAATATTAGTTAAATAAAAAAATAAATCCTTTTTTTTTTTTCTGTTTTATGCTGCATGTAAGAGTATTTATTGGAATGATTAATCAAATGATGTTTTAACTTAATCAATAATTTTGAATTTGAGTCATAAACATAACTGTTATGAGGGTAATACATGTGGTGTATATATCAAAAAGAGTTTTTGCTGGAATTGGATTCACCGAAAATGGAAGATGATAGTGATCAAACCAATCAAATTAATTTAAATAATTGATTAACTTTAATTAAAACTCAAACTAAATAAATTATATTTATATTTACAGTAAAAAAATTAAATTATGATCTAATTTTTTTAATTATTAATAGTCTCATTTAAAATTTATTGAAAAACAATTTAGGGACGAGAATATAAGGAAATTTGAAAGACCATAAACATAAAAAAAAAAAAAAAAAAGGTATTTTGAGAGTAGTTGAGAAATAGTTTTTTTTAACTGATCATAACTTATAAGGTTAGAGTGTGAAATACAATTTCTAAAAAAAAAAGAACGAAAATATTAAGAATATTTAATTGAGAAAATAAGAATAGTAAAAGTTTCACTCTTTAAATTGTGCATTCTAATTTAAAAGTTTTTTTTTTTTTTTTAAAGATAGGAAAGAGCAATGAGGATTAAATCTAGGTTTTCATGCTTTCTAAGTACTTAATCCCTTTTTACCCAATCATTAAGTTAACTCTAATGATTTCTAATTTAAGAGTTTAATATTGATAGACTTTTATCTTTAATATTTAAAAATAATAAATTTATTATACATGACAATATTTGATAATAACAATATATAATTAGAAAATAATATAAAAAATTATACAAGCATTCGAATTAAATTCATAGATTAGTTTAATTTTAATTGTGAAAAATAATATTTCATTGTATTAAATTAAAGTTTTCCGTATACAATATTTTTTATTGTAAATAAAATGTCTGCATTTTTTTTGTAAAAGTTTAAAAAATGTATATAAAAAAAAATAAAGGAGCTGTATCACACAGTTATTTTTAAACAAAAATAAAATACAAGTAAATAATTAATTATAATATAAAATATTATGTTAAATTAAATAAGAATAAAATACAATTAGAATCACCGATTGACTTGGTAACGATAAATTTAAGTAATATGTACACAATTTTAGATTAAAAATTTATTGTATACATTGAAAATTTTACGATAAAAAATAATAAATTAAACAAAAAAGACTTAACGGAGGAATGGAGGAGAGAATCATGAAGATAAATTCTTTAGAGTATGTTTGGATGGAGAATTTTAATGGAGTCATTCATTTGTTTGAAGAATTTCAAATTCTTTGAGGTTAAATACTTTGTTTGGATGGAGAATTTACAAAGAATTTGAAATCCAAGCATTTGTAAAATTCTTTGAAATAATAGAATTTCAAATTCTCCCAAAAAGGTAAGAATTTGAAATTCTTCATATTTTTTTCCCCTTATTTCACTTATATATTTTATCTTATATCTTCATATTTTTAATTATTGAATATTCAAAAATATTTTAAAAACGTATTAAATATTATTTAATATTAAATTTTAAAATTATTAAATATTTTAAAATTGGTTAATATTTATTTTTATAAAATTTTATTTAAAATCTTAACATATAAATATATTTTTAAAATTAATTTTATCATGATAAAATCAAATTATCATATCCAAATTAACAATTTAAAAGTTTAAAAAAATTGAATTGACTTATCCAAACAAAATATTTTAAGAATGATAGAAATTGAAATCAAAGTAATTTTTCACAGATCACAATAATTTCAAATTTTCATTTATCTAAAACGAAAAAAAAAAATTCAGAATGTGTCAACTATATTTGAAATTAAAATTAAGAAATAATATTCTAAATAAATAAAATATAAAACTAAAATGCTCAATACATATGGCCAGACATGTAACTTAATATGAGTGAACGTAATTTTTATAAATTAGAGCTAATAAAATGGGTTATTTGATACATTGTAAGTTTGATACGGATCACGAGTTAAAAATATAAAGTCAAAAATACGACTTGAATTCTTTTTTTAAAATTGATGTCCAAGTTTGGCTCTTTTTCAAGCCTCCCATTTTGTTTTAATTTGTTATATTTAAAAAAAAAATTTCAAACCTCCCACTTTTTTAATTCATATTTTATTTTTAATAAATTTAAAGTTGATAATTATTGTGATAATTGTTTTGATTATATTACATTTAAAGTATTTTCTGTTTTGACATTTATTGAATTATCACAATTTTATCTTTGAAAAAATGTCCTGATATATTAAAGAGAAATGATGCTTATAAGTCATGTGAGATTTTTAGATATATCAAAAAAATAAATTTTTATTAACATGTTTTTATTGTGAAAAATAATTATATATTATAAAGTAATCATATATATTATTTTATATAAAACTATTTATGCATAAGAGAGCTTGAATTGTTTCATCTATCAAAGAACTTCCATATTTGTTCAAAATTTGAGAATCAATACTAAGAGTGGATCATCATACCATAGTGGTTATTTAAATACATAGTACATCACAAGCCATCTTTGCAAGAACAACACATTTACAACAATTTTTTTCTTTCGAAAGACAAAAAGTTAAGATATTAAAACCACATGATAATAAAATCCTCAATTCCTCAAAAATGAATATCAAGCTCAGATTTCTTGATATTGATTGTTGTGCTCTCAAATTTTTCAATTTTTTATAAAATAAATAACCAACTTAGCTAATTTACATAAATATATAACGTGATAACAACAAAAATTATAAAATCAACTTACTTCAAACAAGTTAAAT